GCCAGTTCAGACCTCTCCAGCGCTTTGTCTGAAACCATTTCTGGGGGCTTTTGACGTGTGCTTCGGGTCATTGTACTGCTGGAAGACCCATGACCTCTGATGGAGATGGGGGGGTTGTTTGGCCATTGGTTCCCAACTTCCCTTCTGTTGGATTTTGGATGAAGGAGCCCTTGGGGCTGATCATTTCACTGGAAAGGGTGTGCTTGGGCTGGAAGCCTTGTTGTTTGTTTCTTGTTGAACCAACCACACCCTGCTTGGCTGATGGATGGGGAGAGGGCAGGACTTTCTTTGGCAGCCATGACTGAAACTTTGTTGTGCTCACCTTAGAGGGCATGTCAGGGAATATGGGCAAGGCCACATATAACATCACATGCAACACCTGCGTGTCGAGGATATAAGTAGAACCTCTCTCTTTGGGGAGGTTAAGTGGTGCTCCTTGGACCTAATTATTAGGTAAACATGATGTGCTATAACTTTAAGGTGGGCTACAGTTGCAAGAAAAAGTATGTGACCCCCTTGGGATTACGTGAAGTTTTGCATGAATTGGGCATAAAATGTGCTCTGAACGTCATCTAAAGTCACAACAATAGAAGAACACAGTCTGCTGAACATAATACTACACAAACATTAGATGTTGCCATGGTTTAATTGCACATAACAGGTAAACATTCACAGTGCAGGGAGGAAAAAGTATGTGAGGCCCTAGCTTAATGACTTCTCCCCAGAGCTAATTGGAGCCAGGAGTGAGCCAACCTTGACTCCAATCAGTGTGATGATATTGGATGTGTTGCTGACAGCTGTCCTGCCCTTAAAAAACACACACCTGTTTTGTGTTTACTGGTTTCAAGAAGCACTGTCTGATGTGAACCATGCCTCGCAGAAAAGAGCTCTCAGAAGACCTACGATGAAGAATTGTTGACTTGCATGAAGCTGGAAAGGGTTACAAAAGTATCTCCAAAAGCCTTGATGTTCATGTGTCTACGGTAAGACAGACTGTCTACAAATGGAGAAAGTTTAGCACTGTTGCTACTCTCCCTAGGCGTGGGTCGTCCTGTAAAAAATGACTGCAAGAGCACAGCGCAGAATGCTGCATGAGGTAAAGAAGAATCCCAGAGTGTCAGCTAAAGACCTACAGAAATCTCTGGCACATGCTAACATTTTTGTTGACACATCTACAATAAGGAAAACATTAAACAAGAATGGAGTACATGGGAGGACACCACGGAGGAAGCCATTGCTGTCCAAAAAGAATATTGCAGCACGTTTGAAGTTTGCAAAAGAGCACCTGGATGTTCCACAGCACTACTGGCAAAATATACTGTGGACAGATGAAACCAAGATTGAGTTGTTTGGGAAAGAACACACAACACTATGTGTGGAGAAAAAAAGGCACAGCACACCAACATCAAAACCTCATCCCCACTGTGAAACATGGCAGAGGGAGCATCATGGTTTGGGGCTGCTTTGCTGCCTCAGGGCCTGGACGGATTGTTGTCATTGATGGGAAAATGAATTCCAGAGTTTATCAAGACATTTTGCAGGAAAACGTACGACCATCTGTCCGCCAACTGAAGCTCCGCAGAGGATGGGTGAGGCAACAGGACAATGACCCAAAGCATACAAGTAATTCAACAAAACAATGGCTGCAACAGCACAGAATACGCCTTCTGGAGTGGCCCAGTCAGAGTCCTGACCTCAACCCGATTGAAATGCTGTGGCATGACCTTAAGAGAGCGATTCACACCAGACATCCCAAGAATATTGCTACACTGAAACAGTTTTGTGAAGAGGAGTGGTCCAAAATGACTCCAGATCGTTGTGCAGGTCTGATCTGCAACTACAGGAAACGTTTGGTTGAGGTTATTGCTGCCAAAGGAGGGTCAACCATTTTTTAACTCCAAAGGTTCACATACTTTTTCCTCCCTGCACTGAATGTTTACATGTTATGTGCAATTAAACCATGGCAACATCTAATGTTTGTGTAGTATTATGTTCAGCAGACTGTGTTCTTCTATTGTTGTGACTTAGATGACGTTCAGAGCACATTTTATGCCCAATTCATGCAAAACTCCACGTAATCCCAAGGGGTTCACATACTTTTTCTTGCAACTGTACATGTCTAAGGTCATAGCCGTATGCAGTGGCTAATTTATAATAATTTTTATTCTCTTTATTTACATATCTTTTGGCCTGCAAAGCTATGTCCATATCTTTACACTGTTGACCCCATCTTTGATTAATCTGCAGCCTGATCAATATCTAAATCATAATCTATTTATGGAAGGCTATTGAGGTTTCACTTATTGGTGAGGGACTTTGCTATATCTTCATATGCGTCCTTGTATTAATTATTGATATATGAATGTTTCAGGCTTTCAGGCCCTTTTTATCATACATACATACATATAATACCTTTATAGTTACAGTATATATGGAGCACTACCCCCTTAGGGGTCGCTGGATTTGATTTGGGTCCCCCTATACTCTGCATGGCCAGGCAACATGCATTTCCCACACTTTGCACACAGTCCTTGAGCTTAGTTTTGTGATTTTATTAAGGGGTAAAGAACTTGAATGGGGTCAAAAGGTATATGGGATGCCCGAGGAACTGCAGAACTTGAGGACACACTCCTTAGCAGCTATGTACTAAAATGTGGATAGCAACAGTCTCTCTTTCCATGAGGAGCACCAAGGGCTCTTTCTAGTGTACTTCCTCAGCCCCCGGATGTTTCCTCCTCTTCACCCAGCTTCACTGAGGGTATTCCTTGGGCAAGGGGGCCCAAGAGCTATCAATTTAGAAAAGTCCCAGATGAGAAGCTAGTTGGGTCTTGCACCTGACTGCCCTCTCCCCTTTTCCAGCCCAGGTGCCTTCAGGCCTTTTGGTGGACCAGGCTCCTTCCCTACTACACAGACTGTTCTCCCTGGGAGACGTTGAGGCAGTGAAGATCCTCTTTTTCCAGCGACCTGCTTGTAGGTAGGCTCCCCTTCCTGGGACCCCCTCTCAGGCTCAACACTCCAACCTCCCTCAATCCATCTTCCACCCAGGAGTGGACTGACCATTTGGAAACTCGGGCACTGCCCAAGGCCCCCCCCCCCCCAGGGTCAGTAGGGGGCCCCATGAGATGCCCCTGGTACCTTTTTGAATAGGCTTTTTTGGTTTTGGGCAAGGACACAGGGGCCCCATGATCCCCTATTGCCCGGGGGCCCCATGAGTTGTCAGTCTGCCCCTGCATCCACCCGACACTGCACATCTTCCCCCCCAGGCTCTGCCACATTTGAGGTTGCCCTGGTCTCCATGCCCAGCCTCCTGCCAGGGGATTGGCCAGAGTCTTAGGGAAATTATTTTTGCGAATTGGCAGAGTCACAAATTCAGATCTGGGCCGCCTTACCTCCTCTTCCCCTCTTCCAGAAATCTCTCCGGTTTCTGGACAGGTGGAGAGTTCCAGAAGTCCTGATCTGATAGAGCCTCCCAGCCTGTCCTGAGGTGACCTCACTACATTACTCCCCAGGCTGACTCATCCATGTATTGACTGGAAAGTTTGAATGTTAACTTAGTACTTCTCCTTGATATAGAGATAGTCTGTATGAGCCAACGTGGAGGTTTTCAGACAATTGGAGGTTACTGTACATTGAGATTTACAATATATTTATGTAATGGACAAGGAGAACTAAGTATTAGCACGCAATCCTTTGTACTTTGATCTTGTTTTTATTATGCTTTTATATGAACAGTACATCTGTAGATTTCCAAATGGTAAAAATGATCTTTTGTAGGTTTATATAGCAAAGACTTTTGCGCGTGATGGGGTTATAGGATATCTAGAGACCTTTCCCAACTGGAGTTCCTCCACAAAGTGCTTGGGGGTTCCATGTGCTACGGCTGATTGACTTCTCATTTGATGGTGCCTTCATAGTTCTGTGGCTAACATCACTTGGCATAGCCATCTGTATGACACCAATGATCTTTCTAGCTGCTTGTAAGAGTGACACTCTGACCACCACACGAAGAGAGGGTATTCTTCCCACTGAGCCACAATGTAAGGGGCGTTTTTCCCAAACACCACCAATGTAAGGAGTTTTCTTCCCACTGATCACCAATGATCATGACAATGTAAGGAACATTTTCTTCCCATTGACTTCACCAATATTAATGGGGCATTCTTCCCACTGACCATCAATGTAAAGACCATCAATGAAAGGTTAATTTTTACCAATGACCACCAGTGTAAGGAACATTCCCCCCCCCCGACCACCAATGTAAGGGACATTCTTCCCACTGATCTCCAATGTAAGGAGCATTTTTTCCACTAATGTCCACCAATGTAAAGGGCATTCTTCCAACTGACCACCAATTTAAGAGGCATTCTTCCCATTGATCACAAGTGTAAGGGACATTCTTCCCAATGGCCACCAATGTAAGGGACATTCTTCCCACTAGCCACCACTGTAAGGGACATTCTTCCCACTGATCACCAATGTAAGGGACATTCTTTTCACTGACCACCAATGTAAGGGACATTCTTCCCACTGATCACCAATGTAAGGGACATTCTTCCCACTGATCCCCACTGTAAGGGACATTCTTCTCACTGACCACCAATGCAAGGAGCATTCTTCCCAATGGCCACCAATGTAAGGGACATTCTTTCCACTAGCCACCACTGTAAGGGACATTCTTCCCACTGGCCACCAATGTAAGGGACATTCTTCCCACTAGCCACCACTGTAAGGGACATTCTTCTCACTGACCACCAATGTAAGGGACATTCTTCCCACTGACCACTAATGTAAGGAACATTCTTCCCACTGATCACCAGCGTAAGGGACATTCTTCCCACTGATCACCAATAAAAGGAGCATTCTTCCCACTGATCACCAATGTAAGGGACATTCTTCCCACTGACCACCAATGTAAGGAAAATTCTTCCCACTGACCACTAATGTAAGGAACATTCTTCCCACTGATCACCAGCGTAAGGGACATTCTTCCCACTGATCACCAATGTAAGGAACATTCTTCCCACTGACCACCAATGTAAGGGACATTCTTCCCACTGACCACCAATGTAAGTACATTCTTCCACTGACCACCAATGTAAGGGACATTCTTTCCCACTGATCACCAATGTAAGGGACATTCTTCCCACTGACCACCAATGTAAGGGACATTTCCCCCACTGACCCCCAATGTAAGGGACATTCTTCCCACTGACCACCAATGTAAGGGACATTCTTCCCACTGACCACCAATGTAAGGGACATTCTTCCCACTGACCACCAATGTAAGTAGCATTCTTTCCACTGATAATCAATGTAAGGGACATTCTTCCCACTGATCACCAATGTAAGGGACATTCTTCCCACTGATCACCAATGTAAGGGACATTCTTCCCACTGACCACCAATGTAAGGGACATTCTTCCCACTGATCACCAATGTAAGGGACATTCTTCCCACTGACCACCAATGTAAGGGACATTCTTTCCCACTGACCACCAATGTAAGGGACATTCTTCCCACTGATCACCAATGTAAGGGGCATTCTTCCCACTGACCCCCCAATGTAAGGGACATTCTTCTTCCACTGACCACCAAATGTAAGGGACATTCTTCCCACTGACCACCAATGTAAGGAACATTCTTCCCACTGACCCCCAATGTAAGGAGCATTCTAAGCACAGACCACGAATGAACTGGTTTTATTAGAGGTTCCCCATGACCTAGAAATTATTTCAGAAGTTCCTCTAAAGTAAAAAGTTTGAGAAAGGCTGGTCTAGATTGTACAGTGTATTTAGGGTGTGTTACCATGAATAGATATTATTCCCATTATGTAACTGTTAATGGAAAGAACTTTGGTATATCTGTTTGTGAAATACAAAAAAAATGTGGTACTACAGAACAAATAGTCCCTATGCTGTCTCTTTGCTGTGGAGATTAGGGAAAGTGGTTTAGTAGTTTACTAACAGATAGCTGGACAGGGCTGACACCATGTCTTGCAATATCAGTTCACAAATAGGCATTTGGTGTTGAATTATAGTATATCAGTAAGTACTTTAGGAATTGAGAGAGCATTTCTGGGGATAAAAACACAGGCAAATGTGCATGTATTGGAGAGGTATAGTGCATATGGTTTTTTTTTCTTCATTTTTGCCCTGACATATTCTTTAACGTGGTTCTAAAGGCAGAAGGTTTTTTAAAAAACCTCCTGAATGCAGCTCCCCCCTCAGCCCCAGGGCCAGATCTAGGGTTGCTGGGGTGGGCTGTACCCCCCCCCCCCCCAGATTTTAATTGAGGCCCCCCCCCCCCCAGGTGTTTGAGAGTGCACCCACTGATCCATAAGCCAGTTTCTCTTACAGTTGCAAGAAAAAGTATGTGAACCCCTTGGGATTACGTGGAGTTTTGCATGAATTGGGCATAAAATGTGCTCTGAACGTCATCTAAGTCACAAACAATGGAAGAAGACAGTCTGCTGAACATAATACTAAACAAACATTAGATGTTGCCATGGTTTAATTGCACATAACATGTAAACATTCACAGTGCAGGGAGGAAAAAGTATGTGAACCTTTGGACTTAATAACTGGTTGACCCTCCTTTGGCAGCAATAACCTCAACCAAACGTTTCCTGTAGTTGCAGATCAGACCTGCACAACGATCTGGAGTAATTTTTGACCACCACTCCTCTTCACACAAAACTGTTTCAGTGTAGCAATATTCTTGGGATGTCTGGTGTGAATCGCTCTCTTAAGGTCATGCCACAGCATTTCAATCGGGTTGAGGTCAGGACTCTGACTGGGCCACTCCAGAAGGCGTATTCTGTGCTGTTGCAGCCATTGTTTTGTTGAATTACTTGTATGCTTTGGGTCATTGTCCTGTTGCATCACCCATCCTCTGCGGAGCTTCAGTTGGCGGACAGATGGTCGTACGTTTTCCTGCAAAATGTCTTGATAAACTCTGGAATTCATTTTCCCATCAATGACAACAATCCGTCCAGGCCCTGAGGCAGCAAAGCAGCCCCAAACCATGATGCTCCCTCCGCCATGTTTCACAGTGGGGATGAGGTTTTGATGTTGGTGTGCTGTGCCTTTTTTTCTCCACACATAGTGTTGTGTGTTCTTCCCAAACAACTCAATCTTGGTTTCATCTGTCCACAGTATATTCTGCCAGTAGTGCTGTGGAACATCCAAGTGCTCTTTTGCAAACTTCAAACGTGCTGCAATATTCTTTTTGAACAGCAATGGCTTCCTCCGTGGTGTCCTCCCATGTACTCCATTCTTGTTTCATGTTTTCCTTATTGTAGATGTGTCAACAAAAATGTTAGCATGTGCCAGAGATTTCTGTAGGTCTTTAGCTGACACTCTGGTATTCTTCTTTACCTCATGCAGCATTCTGCGCTGTGCTCTTGCAGTCATTTTTACAGGACGACCACGCCTAGGGAGAGTAGCAACAGTGCTAAACTTTCTCCATTTGTAGACAGTCTGTCTTACCGTGGGACACATGAACATCAAGGCTTTTGAAGATACTTTTGTAACCCTTTCCAGCTTCATGCAAGTCAACAATTCTTGATCGTAGGTCTTCTGAGAGCTCTTTTCTGCGAGGCATGGTTCACATCAGACAGTGCTTCTTGAAACCAGTAAACCCAAACAGGTGTGTATTTTTAAGGGCAGGACAGCTGTCAGCAACACATTCAATATCATCACACTGATTGGAGTCAAGGTTGGCTCACTCCTGGCTCCAATTAGCTCTGGGAGAAGTCATTAAGCTAGGGCTTCACATACTTTTTCCTCCCTGCACTGTGAATGTTTACATGTTATGTGCAATTAAACCATGGCAACATCTAATGTTTGTGTAGTATTATGTTCAGCAGACTGTTTTCTTCTATTGTTGTGACTTAGATGACGTTCAGAGCACATTTTATGCCCAATTCATGCAAAACTCCACGTAATCCCAAGGGGTTCACATACTTTTTCTTGCAACTGTATATTAGTCAGACCGCTATGGTAGGATCAGGGGCAGACTGACAACTCATGGGGCCCCCGGGCAATAGGGGCTCATGGGGCCCCCCGTGTCCTTGCCCACACTCAAAAAAAGCCTATAAAAGGTACCAGGGGCATTTTATGGGGCTCCCTACTGACCCCTGGCCCTGGGGCAGTGCCTGAGTTCTCGAAAGAGAAACAACTGAGGATTAAAAAAAATATAGAGAGGACTTTCTCTTCCTTGGACTGTCTGTGGTGAAGGCACCATGGCGGCTCCTAGACCTCTCATAAAGCCCAAGATTGTCAAGAAGTGGATGAAGAAGTTCATCCACCACCAGTCAGATTGATATGTTAGAATTAAGCCAAACTGGCGCAAGCCTATAGGGATTGACAGGCACCATTAATGGGAGGTCAATCAGCCACAGCTCAAGTGACCCCTAGAAAACTTTGAAGGAACCCTAGGGTTCCATAGAATTCTTTTTGAGAAAGCTGCATTAGACCAAAAAGAGAAACAACTGAGAAGTAAAAAAAATAAAGAGGACTTTCTCTTCCTCGGACTGTCTGTGGTGAAGGCAGACGCTCCGGATTGGCACCATGGTGGCTCCTAGACCTCTCATAAAGCCAAAGTTTGTCAAGAAGTAGACAAAGAAGTTCATCCACCACCAGTCAGACCATTATGTTAAGATCAGGGGCAGACTGACAACTCATGGGGCTCCCGGGCAATAGGGGATCATGGGGCCCCGTGTCCTTGCCCACACTCAAAAAAAGCCTATAAAAGGTACCAGGGGCATTTCATGGGGCCTTCTACTGACACCTGGTCCTGGGGCAGTGCCCGAGTTCTCGAATGGTCAGTCCGCCCCTGGTTAAGATTAAGCCAAACTGGCGCAAGCCTATAGGGATTGACAGGCACCATTAAATGGGAGGTCAATCAGCCACAGCTCAAGAGACCCCTAGAAACCCCTAAAGGAACCCTAGAGTTCCAAAGAATTCTTTTTGAGAAAGCTGCATTAGACCAAAAAGAGAAACAACTGAGAAGTAAAAAAAATAGAGAGGACTTTCTCTTCCTCGGACTGTCTGTGGTGAAGGCAAATGCTGCAGATTGGCACCATGGCGGCTCTTAGACCTGTCATAAATCCCAAGATTGTCAAGAAGTGGACGAAGAAGTTCATCCACCACCAGTCAGATTGGTATGTTAAGATTAAGCCAAACTGGCGCAAGCCTATAGGGATTGACAGGCACCATTAAATGGGAGGTCAATCAACCACAGCTCAAGAGACCCCTAGAAACCCCTAAAGGAACCCTAGAGTTCCATAGAATTCTTTTTGAGAAGGCTGCATTAGACCAAAAAGAGAAACAACTGAGGAGTAAAAAAAATAGGAATTTCTCTTCCTCGGACTGTCTGTGGTGAAGGCAAACGCTCTAGAGGGGCACCATGGTGGCTCCTAGACCTCTCATAAAGCCCAAGATTGTCAAGAAGTGGACGAAGAAGTTCATCCACCACCAGTCAGATTGGTATGCTAGGATTAAGCCAAACTGGCGCAAGCCTACAGGGATTGACAACAGAGCCTGCAGAAGGTCCAAGGGTCAAATCCTGATGCCCACCATCAGATACAGTAGCAACAAGAAAACCAAACACATGCTGCCCACCTGCTTCAAGAAGTTCTTTGTACATAATGTAAGGGAACTCGAAGTTCTAACAATGAGCAACAAGGTATTTTGCACGGAAAGCGCTCACGTCGTCTCTAGGAACCGCAAGACTATTGTGGAAAGAGCAGCCCGCTCGCCATCAAAGTGACAAATCCCAACGCCAGACTGCGCAGTGAGGAGAGCAAATAAACCAATTCAACTTTGTTAAATAAAAGGAAAAGTATAAATAAAAAAAAAAAAAAAAAACAAGAAGAGTGGGATTTGATTTCAAAGAAGGACGGTCCCTTCCAGGGGCGGACTGACAACTCATGGGGCCCCCGGGCAATAGGGGATCATGGGGCCCCTGTGTCCTTGCCCAAACTCAAAAAAGCCTATGAAAAAGGTACCAGGGGCATCTCATGGGGCCCCCTACTGACCCCGGGCCCTCGGGCAGTTCCCGAGTTTCCAAATGGTCAGTCCGCCCCTGGTCCCTTCAAATGTGGGGCAGCTTGGAACTATGGGAGAGAGCTGAGTTTTACCAGTATACTGTTTAGCTGCAATTTTTCCATAATAACAATTAGTCATCCTTTATAGAATCACACATTTCCACAATATTCCAAGCCGAGGTGAGACCCGGACAGCAATGAAGAGTAAAGAGGTGATCCGAGCCAAGGAGTGTTTTATATTACAGCGTATGGCCGTGAGAGGGTAATGGCTTGAGGCAAAATCAGTAAGACCATAGCTGTGGGCAGCTTACTAGAATTATACCACCAGTTAGGTAATGTTCTGCAGAGGATCTCCTGTGCAGTCCTAGTGCAGTCAGCAAATACCCTACAGATATAGGGGTTCTAACCCTACCCTACACCCTTCAGATACAGGGGTTCTAACCACCAGTTAGGTAATGTTCTGTAGTGGATCTCCTGTGCAGTCCTAGTGCAGTCAGCAAATACCTTACAGATATAGGGGCTCTAACCCTACCCTACACCCTACAGATACAGGGGTTCTAACCCTACCCTATACCCTACAGATATAGGGGTTCTAACCACTAGTTAGGTAATGTTCTACAGTGGATCTCCTGTGCAGTCCTAGTGCAGTCAGCAAATACCCTACAGATACAGGGGTTCTAACCATACCCAACACCATTCAGATACAGGGGTTCTAACCACCAGTTAGGTAATGTTCTGCAGTGGATCTCCTGAGCAGTCCTAGCTATAGCAAATACCCTACAGATATAGGGGTTCTAACCACCAGTTAGGTAATGTTCTACAGTGGATCTCCTGTGCAGTCCTAGTGCAGTCAGCAAATACCCTACAGATATAGGGGTTCTAACCCTACCCTACACCCTTCAGATACAGGGGTTCTAACCACCAGTTAGGTAATGTTCTGTAGTGGATCTCCTGTGCAGTCCTAGTGCAGTCAGCAAATACCTTACAGATATAGGGGCTCTAACCCTACCCTACACCCTACAGATACAGGGGTTTAACCCTACCCTATACCCTACAGATATAGGGGTTCTAACCACCAGTTAGGTAATGTTCTACAGTGGATCTCCTGTGCAGTCCTAGTGCAGTCAGCAAATACCCTACAGATACAGGGGTTCTAACCATACCCAACACCATTCAGATACAGGGGTTCTAACCACCAGTTAGGTAATGTTCTGCAGTGGATCTCCTGTGCAGTCCTAGCTATAGCAAATACCCTACAGATATAGGGGTTCTATCTCTACCCTACACCTTCCAGATACAGGGGATCTAACCCTACCCTACACCCTACTCATACAGGGGTTCTAACCACCAGTTTAGGTAATGTTCTA